AGGGAGGAATGTTTTCTCCTGCTAAAAAGAGCCTTTAACAGTGACACTTCCTTGCGAAAATGGGACTTTTCGGCGATAACAAAATCCAGTTTCTTTGAGGTGGCTCTGCAGAGCAGTGACTGAGGGCTGGGGGGTGAACCCCTGCCAAGCCTGCCCAGGCTCAGCTCAGCCCCCTCCGCTTCAGGGTGGAGGAGAGCTCCTCTCCAGGAACCAGCATTGTGAAAAATGCACATTTTATGGTTGGCTTTTCGCAAATGTTACAGTGAATATTTTATGTCTGATGTTAGAAAGTGATGCTGTATTAATTCTCTTAAGTAGGGTGTTAAACAGAGTTTTAGGTTCCAAAATAATGTTAAAATAGAAACTCTGCTATATGAAGGGGTTTTTTTTAGGAATGAGATACTCACTTCGAGGAACACCTAAATCTTCCAGAGAAGACAAATTTACGGTTTTCTTATCAGAAGAAGCGAATTTCTTCAGGCCTTGCTCAGACTGAAAACACAGTGGGGATTTAAGGAAACAGCTGACATACAACAGAGTTTCTTGTTTAGAACCGAATGTATATGCATTCTTCATGCATAACCATGAAGGATATATGAATATGCAACAAGTGTATTGGTTTAGGGGTGATTCCTTTGTTCACAAGGGATGCTTTTCATGGCTCAGTGTCCAAGAGCATCTGTAATTCTTTGCTTTTTATTGTCTTGTAATTGTCCTAACTCTAAACTTTATTACTCTGATTGCATTACTATTTTTATAACCATTTAATTATTATTAAACTTTTAGAAGTTTTAAAAACCAAGTGATTGGCGTTTTTCACACTGCCCAGCCTTGCAAGCTCCAGGTGGAAACCACAAAGGGTTTATCAATCAGCACGAGGCTCTCAATCAGCACAGGTTTATTTATCAATCAGCACGGGTTTATTTATCAATCAGCACAGGCTTTATCAAGCATGGATAATCCCAAGCTCCATGCTTTGCTTTTGCCCGGGATCTCCTCTTGGGTAAACTTCCCTCCAAGCAGAGGACAGGTGTGGAATGCTTAAAGACACAGCAAAGCTGAGGGGAAAGTGTTGCTTTTCTCTCTCCAGGCAGCTCCACGTCCTTCTGATGTTGGACCCCAGGTCTGGGCTCAGCACTCCCAATAAACAGAATAATTTACAGAAAAACCTATGCAGCACCTCATGGAAGCAGTGAGCAGGATAGTCCAGCTCTTCATTTCTGCATTAGAATTTATAGTTTCCTTTGGCTTTTTTAATATTAAAAGTCAAAATGGATTTTTTTTTTCAGAAACTGCCCAAAGCAAAGACTTTAATTTTTAAGCAGTTCACTGCTCTGCTTTCCCCAGAGCATCCCAGGGAAATGGAGGTTTTGGTGCAGCAGTTTCAGAAGCTGACGTGGAACAAACTCTCTCTGTTCACTGCTGACACCAACAGAAGTGCAACAGAAAGCAGTGGCAGTGATTTGAAAGATTTACTCATTTTTAATTAGTGAGAAGCCACAAATCCATCAGTGCCTCACCTGGACTCCTCTCCTGTCAGTGCCAGAGAAGAGAATCCATCAATTCTGCTGTGCTGAGACCTTTCCTGCTCTTCACCAGCAGCCACAATCACTGACTGAGTGAGCCCGTTGCCCTGATTTTTAAAGGTGTTACCTTTTCTTTTATCATTCTTCTGAAAGTTTTAAAGTTCTTTTAAAAGTTTTCTATGCCTTCAGATGTTTACATATTTCTGATGGAGTTCTCACACATGTTCATGTAAATAATGATTGTTTTGCATTTTTTGTGGGAGCAGAGAATTGATGGG